GTTTTATCAAATCTGGATTATGTAGATTCAGTTAGACTAAAGTTTAGAGCTGATTTATAGTTAAAGTTGGTACAAAAAGTAAGAAAATTAGATTATTTCTTTGGCAGTTAATCTGGGAAAGATGAAAAGCCTGATAATTTCTTGTTTAAATGGTGACACATTTGTAAGGAACATGCATTACTAGGATGAGCAGTATGTGAATTGTGCACATGAAAAATATGCAAATTTTCTCTGTTTAACAGCTTTTTTTGCTCTTATTGACGCTTCTTCTGTTGAGCTTCTGGTWCCTCCAGTTGCTGCCAATCAGGTGCAGGTTCCAGGAAGCATTGTTACAAAGAAATAATCTACCAAACACGYTTTATTTGAACTCTTTGAGCTAATTGGATGCTGTTGAAACAGTGGCAGTAGTTTGATGTAATTAGACGTGACTCTGGGTGAAGGACTTGATTCATGTCTCCTCTCTGCTGCAGGTGAGAGGCCTTTCCCGTGCACCTGGCCCGACTGTGAGAAGAAGTTCGCCCGCTCCGATGAGCTCGCCCGCCACACCCGCACCCACACGGGGGAGAAGCGCTTCCAGTGCCCGCTGTGCGACAAGCGCTTCATGCGCAGCGACCACCTGATCAAGCAYGCTCGCCGTCACCCCGACTTCCAGCCCTCCATGTTGGGGCGCAGCAAAAGCACCACCCTGGCTTCTAACCAGGTCGTGGGTAACTAGGAGGCGGTGTCRACGTGACATTCGTCTCACGTTAACCAGCTACAATCAGATCCACCGCGTTCTTCTCAAAGCACATGCACATACACACGCCGACATGCAGAGTCGGCTGTCTGCACCACTTCTGTCCACCTGTACCAGGTAAACTGTGGTTGGATTCTGAACACATTCCCGGCAAACAAATAAGTTTATTTTTCTCGTTTTCATTTCCTGAGAGCAGCTCTTCCTTCTGTCAAAGTGTGTGTGAAGTGTTTACAGAGCAGACTGGACCAAACCGGACTTCACTTCAGGCAGACGGTGATGATGCAGACAGATAATCGCTGCATTTATGCAAGGACCGACAGAAAAGATGTCTAAATTTACCACAGAATGGTTGATAAATGGCTCGATGTGCACATTTATCAGGAAATATTTTTTCAAAGACAACATTTTTTTAGTAAATTAGCTAAATTAAAGATGCACCCCTGATCAAATATGGTGCTTTAAGTCATTACAGAACATCCTTAAAAACAGAATCAGTTCTGAAACATCAGAACCAAAACCTAAACCACTCAGCTACAGATAACATCTGCAATTCTTTTTTTTTTTTTCTAACCAAAAGTAAATCACAGAATACCTCAGTGTCTTACAGACTCATGGCAGCACAGGTTTGATTTGATTTGTTGCGACACTTCAGGATTTGATAAGAATCAGAACCACAGCAGGTCCTGGTTCTTATCACCCAGCCCCAATATTACCTTGTGGTCTCAAACACTTTCACTAACTGCAGGGATTCATCATGCTTTTTTCCCCTTGTTTTAATGTGTGTGTGTGTGTAAAAACACACCTTTTCACCATCAGCCAAAGCTCAATTCATTTATTCACTCACTCTGATTAAACAGAAGCTTTTAAAAAAATTTTTATATTATTATGTTAGCTTTGCTTATGCTAAAGTGTAGAGGTGAAACATTCCTGCATTCTTCTATTCCATTCATATTATTAAGTTTATTTTGACAACATTGTTTCTATTATTTAGCTATCAATTCATTTTAATAGTGAGTGAAACAAACTAGTAAGTGTAGAAGAGCAGTTTGCACACCATGCTTCCTTGTCTGGAAAAGCCTCTCACATAATACGCAGCAGTGTTATGTCTAATATTGATGCAAATGTAAATATGCTTTAAGATTTCATGTAGAGGAAAAGGTAATGCTACTAGCAGCAGAAGTAATAATCATGAATTGTAGTCCTTATATTAGGGGTGACATATGCTTAGTAGGAGAGCCTGTGAGTTGATGTGTGTGTGTGTGTGGGGGGGGGGGGKCCTTTTTTGAAGGATGGTGAAAGAAGTGGTCAAAGTGTGTGTGGAGTTGTTTATAAATCGCTTTTATTTTTCCTAGAGATGAGTTTGATGTGAGGTTTTTATTATTATGATTATTCTGTCGCCTTTAAAGTCCAATCATCCTTGTGATGCTTCTGGGACTGGGGGGAACATGTGGAACTTCTCTGGTCAGGTTGATGTTTGTTTCACCAAATACAAAAAAAATAAGTTTTAAAAGTTGCACTGGAAAAATCCTAACCAGGCTACATGAAACGCAGCCATTTTTTGTGTTTTTGACTCCATCTGTGTTGGACAAGAAACATGTCGTAAACAAAGAATCAGTTCAGTTCGAAGKGATATTTCAGCCATTTGGGAATAGAGTTTTGTGTAAAATTGTATATAAAATTCTTATCTTATTGTTGTAGATAACTCTTTGAATGACCTCAGTTTGGAGAAATAGTTGAGTGATGAGCTAACGGCTAGTCCAAAGTGGGTTGCAAATATAATTACAGYGCTGTCAGATCTACATGACCCAACTTTATTGGCCTTAAGTTCAGTCTAAAATGTTTAAGATTAGACTTTTAAAACAACAGCAACTCTCTTCAGTCCATGGCTGTGTCTCAATTCATGGGTTATGCTTATGGCAGTTCTCTGTGCCGTAGGCTGTCCCAATTTGTGGGCGCCTACGCATGGGACTGACAAAACCTGGAATGTCAGCTGCACCTGAGTATCCTATGCAGCCAGTGGTATCCCAGAATTCATTGCACAGTCAGCAAATTAAACTCAAAGACGGTGGAGTTTGTTTGTTTTTGTTTTTTTCTTTTTTAATTTAATGGCGAAGTTTGGAAATTGATCGTGGTAAGTTAAACATCTTAGTTGAAGAAGGTTTTGTTACCATGAGATGTTAAATAAAATGCAGCTAGAAGTAATGATACCAAACCCATATTATTAATGCTTTTTCATTTATTTTTTAACGTTTTTCTGTTAAAACTGAACTTTATGAAATAAAGTGTATGTAGACTGCAACCCATGAATTGAGATGGCCCAAGGACAATAAATAAATTTTGCAACTGAGGCCRTTCAGAAACGTTATCTACAGCAGGTAAGATATTCATTGTTCATGACACAAACCTCACTATCTCTTTAAGCTCTGTTTCCAAGCTTGTTAGTGAGAGTTCAGACTTGATTTCATGTTATTTTTCCCTCTCAAATATCTCGTTGAACCTTCAGGAGAGCTCTGAAAGCCTTAAACCTTTTTGTACCCACTTGCTGACCTTGTTTCCTGTTGGATCGTTGTATGGGTGGAGTCTCCGTCTTTGGGTACATCACAGAAACTCTTGCAATATGGCACTTTTGTTTATCCTCCCTGAAAGGTGGCTGACAAGTGTAATGGCTTGGCACTGTTACTGTGTTTCTACGAGCAAGCGCAGCAGAACTTTGTAATGTTTATAACCAATGGTTTGTAAAAAAACAAACAAAACAAAAAGACTTGCCTTCTGTTTGCTTTAAAAAGCAGGATAAATTAACCAGGTAGTTGTTGCTTTCACTTATTTTGTGTGTGCGTGTGTTTTTAGAGATCCAGACAGACTCTTAGTGTGGATTTGTATTTTTTTTTTCTTTTTAGCTGGAACATGTTTCGTTGTTCTCAGACCTGTTGACTTGTTTGGGAGGCGATGGTAGAAGTCTTCCTCTCTCACCTCAGACCGTTTCCACAGATGACAGCGCTTCACTGTCGCCTTTCATTTCAACTTTGAAACTTTCTTCTCACCGTCAGGATTTTGGTTGCTGCTGGCAGTAACCTGAAAGGAACAAACTCATTCCATTCTTGTTTTTTCTCAGATTCATAGCTATAATATCACAAAAACAACATACCTCACAACTCTTTTTTTCTTTTCTTCTGCAGTGTCTGTACAATCCATCCACAGTTTCTTTCCTTTAAAGCCATTGAGCATTTGGATTTCAGCAGTCTGTTATTATGGGCTAAACACTGGCTTGTGTTGTTATCCTCACTGACTATGCAACACCTTTACAATGTGTAGCAGCTTTTACTTTTCTTATTAAGCAAACAGTTCCTTTGATTTCTTTTTGCTTTTTCTATAGAGTTATTCCAACTTAAAGGGGCATTAAAACAGAAAGTTTAAAAATCTGTGGATTGTTGCTTTATTGAAAAGTTCAGTTGAGAATGACAGCAGAGCATTAGCTACTTTTTTTAATGCCTCCAATAATAATTTGTGCTAACTCAGATATGCACATTGTACAGGAGTGGACTTATTTTCAACTGATGGCTGATTTTTATATGGTGTAATTTTTTAAAGGTTTGCTTTAAATCTTCAGTTAGTTGATCAGGAGGAACCTGCTGCACCGACCTGTTTTCATATTTATATTCTCAGGTGTCTGAAATTTTGAAACATTTTGGAGTTTCGATGTTTGTTGTGCAACACTTTTTTTTTCGCTTTGCTGAATAATTTATTACATATCAACAATGCATCATTTGTGTGGTTTTAATCGTTCTCTTCATATCTCAATTCTGTCATTTGGAACAGAGCTGATACTAAATGGTTTCAGTGTTTGCTTTACCTTTTGCTTCTTTTTTAATAAAATATTTTTGATTTTATTGCTAATTGTTTGTGTGTTTTCAAGTTGATCTAAATAAACCAAATGATAAAATAATATTTACAAACAATACTGTGTACCTGTGACATACATCTTGTTTAAATATAAAAAGTCAAAGAAAATATTTTTAAGAAAACACACGATTTTACATATTTTGTCACATAACTGACAGAATCTGAACTCTGACTCCATCTCTGATTGTATCTCAAAAAAACATGAGATCCTTTACACTGTTGTAATTGTAGCAGCACTGTTTATATTGTCACTTTCTATTTCTTCACATGCAGATTTCTTAACTGCTCATCTCAGCAGCATGATTTAATTTTTTGCAATCTGTTTTTAATGTTATCTTTAAAAATTGATGTCACAGGCACTTTAGTACGACGGAGTACAAGATTTTTTATTATTAGAATAAAATCGTAACTTTATGAGAATAATGTCATTATGAGATTAAAGTAATAATTTTACGAGAATGAAGTCACATTACGAGAATAAAATCATAATATTACGAGATTAAAGTCGTAATATTACGAGAAAAAAGTCAAATTCATGATGTGTATTTCCCGTTTCTCATTTCCTCCTTATTATACTCACACCTGCTGTCACTGTTAGATTAATATACTTTCATCCAAATTAGCTACGTGACGACTAAATCTGTCAATGCATCCATTAATTACAATACGACTTCAGTTGAAAGTAGTTTGCACAATTTCCAAGTCCTGCTACTGATAATYTGATGCTAATSTGCTAAAAGATTTAATATTTATAGCAATACTAAAGAACAACTTGACAAGTTGCTCAATATTCCTTATTTAAATGCAGTGCATGCTTTTTCGTGTAAAGGCTACAATGTTATGACTTTTTTCTCATAATTTTATGACTAATCTTGTAATATTACAACTTTATTCTCATTATATTATGACGTTATTTTTATACAACTTTAATGTAATGTAATGACTTTATCCATACATTTTCTGTACCTGCTTCTTCCTTTCAGGGTCGCGGGGGTCACTAGTGCCCAAATCCAGCAGTCACAGTGCGAGGGGCGGGGTACACCCTGGACAGGTCGCAAGTCCATCACTTGCACAATACTTTATTCACGTAATTTAAAAAATTATAAAATAAAATCGTGTGGCCCAAATACTCCGTCGTACTTTAAGACAAAATCTGTCAGCAGTTTGCCTGGGATAAAAGTTCAGTAAGTGCACTTTAGTTTCTCTACACCAGTTGGTCCATGACTTGTAGGTCCAGACTTTCCAGAGACTCTGGAAATAAAGAAATACCTGGAAAATGACTTAACATTTTCCAGACAGGGAAAACTTACAGATCTGCTGATTTAAAGAGGATCTGAGATTTTGCTTAAAAATGACCCCCGCACGTGATCATAAGCGGGAGTCTTATTGTTTTTGTACTTYTTTTTTTTTCCAGTGATTTTTGGTCAACCGTAGCACAAAAACGGCTGCACCGGTCAACATGAAATTTGGCGGGACTGTTGATGAGTCTGACCTACACTGCGCCAGCCAATGGTTTTTCGATAGACCCCATATTTGAGGAGGGGGCTCCTTTCAAGGAGGGGGTGTCTGGACATGCAAAAGTGCTTATAACTCAGAAACTGTTCAACATAGAAGCTTCAGATTTCTTTTGTTGTTTAGCTCTGATGAAGCTCTATCCATCAAGCCCACCAATCAATGCCCCCCACCCACCGGACCCCCAATGTATCTTAAAAAAAGGGGTATCTGGACATACAAAAATGGTTATTACTCAAAAACTATTAAACATAGGAGCTTCAGATTTTCTTTGGTTGTTTAGCTCTGACGAGGGGCTATCTATCAGGTCAAACAATGCCCCCCCCCCCCCCCCAAAAAGACTCCCACCCAAGCCACTACAATTTTGGGATGCACCTAGTAGCATGACATTTATTAGGAATAAATACTTCTGAGTTCTGGTGCATTTGTGCGTGCGGGGGTCATTATGTTACCACTATGCGGTATCTAGTTCTAATATCACTGAGTACAGGGTCATTTTTGAAAATGAGAATTTGTTCTCAATCAGCTGGTTAAAGGAAATACATAACACTATACTGTAATACATGTCAAATTTGGACTTTTGTGTTTCTCGCGCAATATAGTTTTTTTACATGATTAAAAAAAGGTAAATAGTTTTATATCAATAGTAAACTTTGAACTTATACAATATAACAAAATAAACACATTTAAAAGGTTAAGGATAAGTGTCCTGCCTCTGAGCTGTTGGCTTTAAGTAGCTGTGGATCCCTGATCAATTTAGTTGCATAGCACAGTATCAGTCTCAAAATAAAGCCAGCACTGACCATAAACTACATGTTTATTCCTGGGAATTCTTTGTCAGAAAGTGCGAGGGTTCAGAGTTCAAGACACCCCACAACTTAACAGTGAGAAAAACTTTTACTTTTAATAGTATTTCTGTTTTATTTATTTCACATTTTGTCAGTCATGTAGTACTTCTCAGTGTTTATAAGAGTGTTAAAGTTCTATGCATGAAATGCCACATAGAGCTCAGTTATTGTCTGTTATTGTAACATTGGGGCTCGAACATATAGCAATGAGACGAGGAATGTGGCATTCCGTGTTTAGTCAAAGTTAAACATGAAACGTTAAAGTTAATTACAACTAGTCCTTTGAGGACCACCATAACGCTCATGTGGTCCTCAGTGAAGATGAGTTTGACACCCCTGCTCTACAGTGAACATGTAACACTAACCCATCAGTTTGTAACTCCTTTCATAACTTATACATTCAAAAGTTAAATCACTCACTGCAGTAAATTGTTTGCCCTTTAAACACTCTTAAGTTGTGAGCTTTTCATGTGCCTGGAAGATATCCTGGAATTTCAGGGTAAAACCCTGGGGTCTTTCTGTGCCAGCTGAACCCATTTGAGTCATTAATTTGACATTGCTTCAAGCTCGGCAGTTATAATAAAAGTACAGACTCATTTAAATGTCGTTTGAACAGTTTTACATTTAGGATATAAAAAATGTGTAAAAAGATGAGTATGACCTGTTTGAAAGACTGCAGATAACAAAACATCCCAGCTGTCAGCACAGCCAGGCTGATGGTGGACCATGACCTTCTCTGTAGACCAAAGGAGTATAGAATAGGGGGAGTTCTGTCTGAAAGCACAACAAGACTTGGGCACAAATCTACAACAGAGTGGCTAAAACTATTTACAAAATCAAACAAAAAGAATCCAGGTCCTAAAAGGACTGACTGAAATGCTGAATCTGGAAAATAAATGATCTGTGCAGAAACAAAAGTCTGAAAAACTCAATGAAATGTTGTAAATGTAATGGGGTGAAATCCTCCACTGCTCCATGTGAGGGGCTGATAACAAGAATGGGATGAGGGCCTGTATTTCTCAAATTTTTTAGAATTACTCTTAAGAATGCTGCTGAGAGTGGACTTAAGTGTAAAAAAATTCTTAGTTAAAAGCTGAGAGTAAAAGTCTGCTATAAAGCGTCTCAGTCTTACTTTAAGCGAAGTGTAGGAGTAATTCTTAAGTGTCAGTCTTAGAGCTGATTTGCGACACCTGGCTGTGCTGCAAAGCTGATCCTGGATGACGTTGTTAGAAAAAAACCCAGCATGGACCAATCACTGCCTCGGATTTCATGTTCAAGAATATTCTCGGAAAAAAGGCAAGATTAAACTGTGAAAATCCTAAGACAAGTTCACTTTCAGCACACTAATGTTGTCACCTTGTATTGATTGTATGTAAATTCAACCCATTCTCACTCCCAAGTCGTCACATATTGACGCGTTGGCAAGGTTCCCTCTACGTCCGATTTTGACGCGCAGGGTACCCCCGTCACGTCAGTTACTGACGAGATGGGGCGAAGTCTGTTGTCATATTTTCAGAAAGTGTATAAAATGCGCGAAAACGACCGTTCCAAAGCCTGAAATTG